AAAAAGAAGAAATAGATCTTCGCGTTTCGCGTATAAACTTCGCATTACAATCGGATATAATAACCATTATAACAGAAAACATAGTAGACATCGTAGATAAAAGTAATAAATTTTTTTGTGCTTCTTAAAAATAATCATAATCATATATATATATATATATATTTTTGTATATATATATACAAATGCATACTACTTAATTAAACTGTGTTTCAAAACTGTTTTGATATAAATCTTCTTAAACTAAACAGTGCCTTCGTTTATTTTATAATCGTTTAACGTCCGTCTAATATAACAATAATATAATTTTTGCACAGAAACCTTCGTCGATAAAATAGTTAATAATAAAATATTTTCGCCCTATAATATGATTATTAATAATAGATAGATAATGACATAATAAGCATCATCAATCAGGTCTACTGTGTTTTATGTTTGCTACACGTTGCTACTATACATAGCGATCGCTTTCCAAGTTTTCAGTCGAATAATACAGATAGTAACACAAATATCGAATGAATATTACATGATCGTTTTATTACTTCATTAAAAAATAAAGAGGTCGAATACTCGCACGGCTAGCAGAAAGAAAGATGAAACCAGGCGTGCGAATAACTACAAAAGAAAAAAATCTAATTTGCATCTCCGAAACTTTTCCTTACTACGGGAAAAGGCAGGAGAGCTTACAATTCCGATTGTTCCTCCCGTTTTCTTCCGATTTTTTTTCTTTCTTTCTTTCTTTCTTTTTTTTTTTCTAATTTCTTAATGAAACATTACATGATGTTCGATGGACAATCGCGGTTGGCAGACGTAACTGCGACGATTCAATAACAATGAATATTCCATGATCAACAAGGAAAGTTTAACAAGATAATATTTTGATTATTTGAGAAAAATGAAACTGTTTTTCTCCCTTTTCTTTTCTTTCTTTCTTTCTTTCTTTCTTTTCTTTTTTTTTTTTTTCCGTTCTTTTTAACTAACTGTAATAAAACGTAAAATATGGAATAAATCAGTCGGATAAAATTCGATGATTGCGTGATCGTTATCACTGGGGTACGGAACTTATCAACGTTATCGCCGCATTATTTCGGACTAACAATAGAAAGTTACGTCAACCTCCGTTTCCTCTGTTCTTTATTTTTTCTTTTTCTTTTTCTTCTTTTTTTTCCTTTTTTTTCTTTTTTTTTCTTTTTTTTCTTTTTTTCTTTTTTTTTATTGACGTATGTATTACACTTAAGCTGCCATGTAACTAAATATACGTGTACGCACGTTGTCTCCTCTTTACCGTGTCGCTTTGATTATTCGTTAATAACCATTACTACAGGTTGTTTCACGAGAAACAACGTAGACAAAGTACAAGATTAACGGCCTCTTTTTTTTTTTTTCTTCTTTTTCTTCTTCTTTCAACGTTCTTTCTTGCTCCCAAAAGCAAGGGGAAGGAAGAACGGGAAAAATCCTTAAGGCTAAAGATATTTAAAGATAATCTATAAATATCATATACTCTCCTTTTGTAATCTCCATTATATAACTGTATGTAGTATAAAACGTAAGAGAATTTTACAATCTAACAGTGATTTCAAAATACCAATAACTGCAATTCGTAACAAGTATAGACTTTATATATAAAAAAAATATATATATTCATTTTGTGTTCCCCTTCTTCAAAGTATTTAAAAGGGTCTAAAAACGTGTTTGTCTATTTTAACAATTACCACATGTTCATTCATAAACATCTCGTATGGACGGTTATTGCTTTAAAAAATGACGATCAGTATCGCCGTTCTAATCGATTGCAATGAAAAGGCACTTCGTTTAAGCATATCGCTTGTAAAATAGTCTGAGCATTATCGACACTCGATTGTAGTGTATATGTATGTGTATATATATACCGTGTATATACATATGCTTATACGTACGTATATATATATATACATATACTTACATTCGACACACGATTCGAAGAAATCTGTTTCGAACCTGAATCATACACGTAACACGATTTACTCCATATGTCAACTTCAAAGTATAGACAAGTGTGTCCGTGTGTTAAAAATGCTTCGATACTTTTAGACGCTGCCGTTGCTTCCGTAAATATTGTATAAAGATCACCGCTACATGAATCGACGAATATTCGAATAAAAATATCGTTTATCGAACATCATACCCTCTTCTCTCTCTCTCTCTCTCTCTCTTTTCCCTTTATCCTCCTTCTACACATTTTCATAATAATTGCACTTATTTCTCATTTCATCGTTTCACGATCTTTCAATACACGTTGAAATCCCGTGAGCACATACGGATATGATGTTTTTTTCCCTTTTCTGTTTTCTTTTCTTTTAAATTTATTAAATTACACGCGAGATCGATGATACCTAAAAAAAAAAAAAAAAAAAAAAAAAAAATACTGATATGTCATGATATCAGATTTTTGTTGTATACCAACGTGATATAAATATAATTAAACAACAATTTACTTGTCTACTCCATACTATCGGGAAGTATATCGAGCTTTTTCCTTCCATTACGCTCTCCCTTCGTTAACCCGAGCACATTAAATATTTATTACCCATAATATTCAGTCCTTTCTCTTGCTCCCTTTCCGTACAATATAGTGCTTTAGTATAGAAATACAAACTTATATACAAAATGTTGGGGACAAACGCACTCATACACGCATACAAACATACGAACACTCAAATACTCTAATAACAAGAGAGAAAGAGAAAGGATCCGAATACGTTCTTCATTTACATACAAGATGTCCTAAAAATCTCGAAATACAATATCAAAGATCGTGTTCTTTATTCGATTCCAACAGGTGGCAAAAAAAGATGAAAAATAAACTAGTTCCACCGGAAGCCTCAATGATTAATTACGGCCTGCTCAACATTCTCAAAAAAATTTCTTCGGGAAGACTCGACAAGCTTGCCATGAACACTAGATTTTAAGGCTTCGAATTCATCATTTTTTACCATCTTTTGTCGTTCAACAAACGCGTCAAATAACAAGAAATTCACGGTATAGAATTCAATAAAAAGTACGATCGTCCGCATGATTGTCAACATTTCTAGGGCACCCTGCGAATGTTGCTGTATACACGTTCGTATATACGTTGAGCATAACGCGTTGTAATTAAGGCTCCATTTCTACTTAAACTTTAAATTTTTTTCTCGTTCACGTGCGTTCTTTTTTTCTTTTTTTTCTTCTTTTCTATGGAATAGTCGTTACTTTATTGGTAAGATCCTCTAGAATCATTCCATTCGGTTTAGACGTATTGAAATTGCAATTTTTTTTTCTTTTTTTCTTTTTTTTTTTTTTTTTTTTTTTTTGTAACGAATCAATTTCATAAATTGCTTGCCTGTCATAGACAATTTCCTCCTCCATACTACAGCCACGTCAGCACGTTTTCAGGTTTTGTCGTATTAGGGTTTATCAACGATTGCACATCGTCCAAAATATCGCTACTAAAATCTTCGCTCAGCTAAAAACAAAGTTTACAAGAAGAGATTACGAAACACTCTATAATTGCTTTTAAATATATTCAATTCGAATAGGTACCTGTAACGATGGAACAAGATCATCGGTCGAATCGATATTATCGCTCAGAGTAGAAAGATCCGGGGTCTCCATGGGTGCGCCACCATCTGTTAAAAAAAGAAAAAAAAAAAACAAAAGAAGGCTTTTAACACTGATAAATAATCGTTGCAATTGGAACGAATCCAAAGTTTATGGAAAAATGTTTAAACCAATTATCCTTATCGCTATATTACGTACGTGTATATATATATATATATATGGATACTAAATATGGAACAACATCTTACCGCTTGTACCATCCATATTATCGTCGATATTTGCAAGAAAATCTTCCGGTGTGTGAGGAAGGGAATAAGCAGAACCAAGGCCCAGACCACTGTCCGCGCTTTCCTGGCGTGCGTGTTGCTCGTTGATTCCCGATAAAAATGGGTCCATAGCGGCATCGGTAGTGCTTTGTCGAAGCATTAGCTCTTGCTACAAGTGAAAAATATCGCACGTTAATATCAGGAAAGGACAGAAGCGATCGAACGAAGTCGAGTAATTTACCTGACGTATAATTTCCTGTTGCCGTTGTTTGAGACGCTCGCGTTCCATTTGTAGCGACTGGAGGCGAAGTTTCTGTTGACACGCTTGCAATGTTTGATTATTCTGAATACCACCACCTGTAGGTTGTTGCTGTTGAAGCCAATTTTGCGGTAACATCGCACCCGAGGTTGGGGCCCTTTGAAGATGAGTGGCTGAAACGATTAATTGCTCGTTCAATATCCGAATAAAAAGAGAAGAACCTTAAAAGAGACTGAAGAGATTCTATTGGAAACGATCGCAAACGCCTACGCGATATCGATCAGAAGAAGAAACTTACGGATTCTTGGATCGAACCACGAAGTGGTGCGTGTCTGATGATTAATGAAGTAGATTTCTCCTTCGGGAGTACGCGCTTGTTCCCATCCGTCGGGCAATGGACCTAGAGAATTGGTAGCGCCGGTCGAGGATTTTCCATTGTCGACGGCGGCGGCCACAGCCGCCACGTTCGCTGCCGCCGCTGTTTTTCGTGGATCTTCCCATGTCGTGGTTCGCGTCAGGTGGCTGGAAAATAAAATTATAACACATTTAGACGTGGTGCTATTTTGTACGTATAGCGTGGCTCCGTGCAGAAACTGAATACGCCACGGCACGTACAGTTATCCACATATAGTAGGCGCATTCTAAAAATAGTTCCATTCAAAAGACGACGCGAAGGAGTAACAGCAGGCGCCTAGCGGTAGTTAGCACACGAGTTTTAACGTCTCGAATAAAATGTATTTCACGAAATTTTTCCTCTTTGAAAGGCGCGCTTTATTCCCTTCCCTTCCGTCGATTCGTCGTGTCGGTGAATCGTGTCGAAGAATCGAGAAACAGGGAAGGAGGAACGAAATGCGCGTTCGAAGACATCATATCGTATTTTAAAGCGTTTTCGCGGAAACAGACGCGGTGTTTTTGCGTACGAATGAACCTGAACTCGACACAAATTTTTCACAAGTTACAATTTCCCTTCTTCTTCTTCTTCTTCTTCTTCTTCTTCTTCTTCTATGGGATTGAAAACGGATCGTTGAAAATAACGTAGCTTCGAAATCGAATTTAATTAATTTCTCGTTGCGCAGAGGAGAGGATCGTGGTTAATTAAATCGCAAATCGCATACATTTAACCACGCGACGCGGTTAGGAGACGGGGACGAGGATAGGAAGCCACGTCGTTTAGTTCGAAACGACTTTAGTTGCACGAAAACACTACGCGTCTCTCGGTCGACAAAAATAGCGGCTAATGGCTGTGATTTGCCGATCCCGTCGTCTTCCCTCTATCTAACGTATTTACCTTACTCACGTGTCATTTTTCAACCGGGTGGAAGACCGGAAAACGCTATACCGTGCACCACCGTTTCTTATTTACCTTCGTGAAACGAATACCTTTGCGAACCGGCTACCTTGCCTGACTCCAAAGAAATTTTAGACAACGAACGGACGAACATGCGCCACGCTTAATACGACACCCGTGTGCTCCAACATCGAAATTTTCCGAGCGAACGACCATGCATCACCCGTATAATACATACCTATCCGATCCACCTGCGTGGCAAATTTTTCGCGTTTTCGCAACGAATTTCTCCGATAATAATTCCCGAAAAATCGTTCACCAAGTTCGTACTGCGTTTACCGCAGTATCGGAGACGGTTCCCAACAACAATTCACACGTTTGTTGAATCAGCTCGGGCGGGGCAAAGAGAGCAAAAGAGAGAGTGAGCGCTGGCTTCTTCTCTCAATATTTTGGCAAAAGTGTCACCCGTTTGCATTCCACGCACGATGACTTAATGCGTTCGTTTAAACGATCAACGGGGGACATAAACAAGTTGTTTAAATCGGCACCGGTATCGTGCACACACACACACACACACGGTTCGCGGTATTTTCGAGCGAGAAACAAATCTTCTTACACGGTTAATAATACCCGCGGAACAGAACCACGTTTCACGTAATTTTAACATTAAGAGCATTATCCAATCGGGGATATGTATCCGATCGACCGTGTTAAGCTGAATCTCGTCGTTTCCCGAGATCCAGCCATCGAACAACACCCGCGGGATAAGAGGAATGAGAGGAGAGGAAAAAAAAGAAAGAAAGAAATAAAAAACCATCTCCCATAACAACGATGCCCCCTTTATGAAACAATTCATCATCGTGCGAAGAAAATCCCTCTTCTCCATTTTTGGAATAAGGAATAATTATAATTATCACTTTTCCTTCGTACGATCCTATCGAGGATGACGCCTTTCTTTACCGCCGGCTCCCCACCCCGACACTCATCCGTCCCGTCTCGATCGACTCGAGAGAAGCACACCTTTCCCCCGTTGCTTGGAAAAATAACAGGAAAATCGTACGGCCGAGCCGAGGGGAGGGGAGGAGAGGAGAGGAGAGGAGACGGGGGAGGGAGGGGAGGGGGGGAAGGAGAGAAATAAATTGAAAATCTATCTCCGGGATGCGTGATCGGTGGCATAGCAGAATACAGAACGGCGGTGTGTTCCAAAAGCTACATGTCGCGGGTCTCTCCGGGAGCGGTTGGATTCGTTCCAAGAGAGTTCGAAGTAGAGAAGGAGAAAGAGAGGGAGGGGAGGGGAGGGCTAGGTGGAGAGGCAAGGGTAGAGAAGGGAAGAAGCGAGAGAAGAGGAAAAGAGGGAAAGGTAAGCAAGCAGGCAGGCAAGCAGGCAGGCAAGCAAGCAAGCAAGCAAGCAAGCAAGCAAGCAGGCAGGCTAGCAGGCGAACAGGCAACCAGGCAGGCAGGCAGGCAGCTCGAGAGCATTGGAGAATTACAAGAGGGTTTCTGTGTGGCGCACAGCATACGGACTACGATGTATTTTTACTCCGGACATCACGGCGCCGGACAACTCGTAAATAGACACTCTCGCACCGACGCTCTCTTTCGCTTGCCTGCTCTTCTCTCCCGTCGTCGTCTTCGTCGTCGTCTTCGTCGTCGTCTTGGTCGTTGTCGTGGTCGTCGTCTTGGTCGCCGTCGTGCGGTTCGCGTTGCTCCCTCCCCCTCCCCTCCCCCCCTCCCCCCCTCCTTCGAAAAACCT